TGTCCGATCATGCAGTCTGACTGCCTGTGCCTATGTAGGCTATGTTTACATTGGTCTTTTCTTTCGGAACCTTTCTGCATTTATGTATCAACATATCTTATTACTCCCAGAAGGCTCTCGGACTTCTTCAGAAAATACATACCTAATTTGGCACTTGTCTGGTCAAAGCTGACCAATAGAGTTAAGCCAAGTTAAGATAAGGGTCCATGGCTGACCAATGTAAAGAAAGATCCCTACTGGGGAGAACCCCCATGGTCAGCATCTGATATCCCAAGCTACCGCCTCATCACTTTTAAATTCTCTGGCGAGGCGGCAGCAGCTTTGATTTTTGACCTTCTTTCTAAATTCCCACCCACCCTTACTTTCCCAATTTTTTATCTTTAATTACATTAGTTTTGTTTGTTATATTGTAGATAATGTAGAATTAGCGTAGTAGGAGGACCATAGTTTAAGTTTAAACTACGGAAACAAATAATGATACTGCTTTATTGTTATTACTGTTTTGTAATTATGTAATGCGCAATAAATCATGGTCTATGTTCACCCAAACCAATTTGTATGTTGTTCTTTGCCATAACATGTACATGAGATTGGATTAATGGAGTAGTAATATCTCTACACCTGTACTGAAAGAGTAGTATTATCTCTACACCTGTACTGAAGGAGTAGTAATATCCCTACAGCTGTACTGAAGGAGTAGTAATATCCCTACACCTGTACTGAAGGAGTAGTATTATCTCTACAGCTGTACTGAAGGAGTAGTAATATCCCTACAGCTGTACTGAAGGTGTAGTAATATCTCTACAGCTGTACTGAAGGAGTATTAATATCTCTACAGCTGTACTTAAGGAGTAGTACTATCCCTATACCTGTACTGAAGGAGTAGTAATATCCCTACACATGTACTGAAGGAGTAGTATTATCTCTACACCTGTACTGAAGGAGGAGTAATATCCCTACAGCTGTACTGAAGGAGTACTAATATCCCTACACCTGTACTGAAGGAGTAGTATTATCTCTACAGCTGTACTGAAGGAGTATTAATATCCCTACAGCTGTACTGAAGGAGTAGTAATATCTCTACAGCTGTACTGAAGGAGTAGTAATATCTCTACAGCTGTACTTAAGGAGTAGTACTATCCCTATACCTGTACTGAAGGAGTAGTAATATCCCTACAGCTGTACTGAAGGAGTAGTAATATCTCTACACCTGTACTAAAGGAGTAGTAATATCTCTACACCTGTACTGAAGGAGTAGTAATATCTCTTCACCTGTACTGAAGGAGTAGTAATATATCTATACCTGTACTGAAGGAGTTGTAATATCTCTACAGCTGTACTGAAGGAGTAGTAGTATCCCTACACCTGTACTGAAGGAGTTGTAATATCTCTACAGCTGTACTGAAGGAGTAGTAATATCTCTACACCTGTACTGAAGGAGTAGTAATATCTCTACACCTGTACTGAAGGAGAAGTAATATCTCTACAACTGTACTGAAGGAGTAGTAATATCTCTACACCTGTACTGAAGGAGGAGTGATATCTCTACAGCTGGACTGAAGGAGTAGTAATATCCCTACACCTGTACTGAAGGAGTAGTAATATCTCTACACCTGTACTGAAGTAGTAATATCTCTACACATGTACTGAAGGAGTTGTAATATCTCTACAACTGTACTGAAGGAGTAGTAATATCTCTACACCTGTACTGAAGCAGTAATATCCCTACACCTGTACTGAAGGAGTAGTAATATCTCTACACCTGTACTGAAGGAGTAGTATTATCTCTATACCTGTACTGAAGGAGTAGTAATATCTCTACACCTGTACTGAAGGAGTAGTAATATCTCTACACCTGTACTGAAGGAGTAGTACTATCTCTACAACTGTACTGAGGGAGTAGTAATATCTCTACAGCTGTACTGAAGGAGTAGTAATATCCCTACACCTGTACTGAGAGGTAGTTATATTCCTACAACTGTATCGAAGGAGTAGTAATATCTCTACACCGGTACTGAAGGAGTAGTAATATCTCTACAGCTGTACTGAAGGAGTAGTATTATCTCTACAGCTGTACTGAAGGAGTAGTAATATCTCTACACCTGTACTAAAGGAGAAGTATTATCCCTACACCTGTACTGAAGGAGTAGTAATATCCCTACAGCTATACTGAAGGAGTAGTTATATCCTACACCTGTACTGAAGGAGTAGTAATATCCCTACAGCTGTACTGAAGGAGTAGTAATATCCCTACACCTGTACTGAGAGGTAGTTATATCCCTACACCTGTACTGAAGGAGTAGTAATATCCCTACACCTGTACTGAAGGAGTAGTAATATCTCTACACCTGTACTGAAGGAGTAGTAATATCTCTATACCTGTACTGAAGGAGTACTAATATCTCTACACCTGTACTGAAGGAGTAGTACTATCTCTACACCTGTACTGAAGGAGTAGTAATATCTCTACACCTGTACTGAGAGGTAGTTATATTCCTACAACTGTATCGAAGGAGTAGTAATATCTCTACACCGGTACTGAAGGAGTAGTAATATCCCTACAGCTGTACTGAAGGAGTAGTTATATCCCTACACCTGTACTGAAGGAGTAGTTATATCCCTACAGCTGTACTGAAGGAGTAGTAATATCCCTACACCTGTACTGAAGGAGGAGTAATATCCCTAGACCTGTACTGAAGGAGTAGTAAGATCTCTCCACCTGTACTGAAGGAGTAGTTATAACCCTACAGCTGTACTGAAGGAGGAGTTATATCCCTACACCTGTACTGAAGGAGGAGAAATATCTCTACACCTGTACTGAGCGGTAGGTATATTCCTACAACTGTATCGAAGGAGTAGTAATATCTCTACAGCTGTACTGAAGGAGTAGTAATATCCCCATAGCTGTACTGAAGGAGTAGTTATAACCCTACAGCTGTACTGAAGGAGTAGTCATATCCCTACACCTGTACTGAAGGTGTAGAGATAGTACTACTCCTTCAGTACAGGTGCCGGGATATAACTACCTCTCAGTACAGGTGTAGGGATATGACTACTCCTTCAGTACCGGTGTAGAGATATTACTACAGCTGTACTAAAGGAGTAGTAATATCCCTACACCTGTACTGAAGGAGTAGTAATATCTCTACACCTGTACTGAAAGAGTAGTAATATCTCTACACCTGTACTGAAGGAGTAGTACTATCTCTACACCTGTACTGAAGGAGTCTTTTTATAGTTATGACCTGACCTTGCTTTATGACTGACATCTTGATTTGACTTTTATATATATTTTGACTTTCACACAGATACGATCATACCTTCAAACGTGACCTTGTCTGGACAGCAGTAGCCTCCCTGGCAGGAGAACATCCCATTGTTACTGCTACAAGTGCTTGACTCACTACAGATGCGAGGTAGACCATATTCAGTCATAACAACCATTCCACCATTAGGACAAGCACCTTAGATAAATATAATCAGTCTTAGATATGTGTTTTCTTACAGAATCTAACATATGTCATCCTTAACATTCCGAACACTGTATAACAATAAAATCCAATGACGAAAATTAATTTCATTAATTATGAATATTAATACAAAATTTACTAGTATTACACGAACACTTTCATCTTTATTGTCTTATATGCAAACCTGTATAATAATGTACAGGCAAAAATAACAAGAGACCCAGCTCAATGATTTTATCAAATTAACATTTGTTTGAATTACAGTTAATTGTATTGTCTGAAATCACTAAAGAACAAACCAAAATGTCATATAGATATTTCCATATCAATGTAATAAATAATCAATAGATAAATAAATAAATAATCTTTATTCAACGTTGTGCAGAAGAGCTTTTATTATGACACCCGTAAGGGAGCAAATGATGTTTTCATGGTGGAGAAAAACCCACGGGGGGAAACCACTGTGCCATCGGAGGGAAAACAACTAACCCTATCAGACATCAATTTTGCCCGACTTCACTATTGAGGGAGTTAGTCCTCTATCTGCCATATGATAGTCCAAAACTAGAACACCCCTGCAGATTAACTCCCTCTATAGTACTTTTTCTGGAGTCTAAGGGGTCAGTGATCCAATTTAAGGTTTTAAGTCGTTATAAGAACAATAACTCAAGGATGCCTCAGTGGCATCATGCAGTTTAAAAACAAGGAAGGCTCCCAGATATGAAATCATCCTAAAATGTTAAATGGAATCAGCATTAAGCAGAGCCATACCTGTGTATAGTTTGGTGGGACAACAGTATTGAGCTTCGTTACATATGTAGCCGGAGGAACAGGTAATATCCTCCTGACCTTCCTGTCTACCACACCTCTTTGACTGACCATCCATAGCTTCTTCCATTCCCCCATCTGGACATGGACCTGCAATAAAAAAAAAACAACGTTCTACTCACCCTATTTTTTTTAAACAATTTCTTGGAAATAAATCCTTTTAGAGATTACTCCAGGAGAAACTACAAGGTACACATGCTGAAGTTTAACATCAATTTCTGTCACTTGAGAACAGAGCAGGTTGTCAAAGCGCCATAAATGTTGACTTGGGCCTAGGAGGAAGATTGATGTACTGTATACCGGGAAGTTTCCGCCCAGTCAAACGTTCACCCTTCGCATATGAAATCAATTTTCACCCAGTATTAATTTCGCCTTTCATATTCAATTACTATGTATGTTTCATTGTTAACTTATATTTGTAGAAATGATAAATTTGCCGTCATTATGGGGGGAGAAAAAGGCATTTTTTTTTAAACTGTGGTGAAAAGTTCCGGGTTAAACAGTATATGGCTTCAGAGTAATCAACTCCAAGTGTGGCCCTGGAGAACAAAAAAAAACCACAATTCTTCTGCACATGTATTAACATGAAATATTTCAACATGTATAATTCGAGACAATTTCAAAGCTTTATTTCTATTTATGATTAAAACTGAAGTGATTTTAACCCTCAAGATAAACCAGAATCTGCAACATAGGTCAAGATAAATTCCAAGAAAACAGAGTAAGCAACTCTCAGACATATCCAAAAGGTGAAAAGAAGAATGTCAAGATTTTCAAAATAATAATAACTTGAGGTTCTTATATACCACTCTATCACAACCTAGTTCGTAGGCCGTCTCAAAGCGGTTTTACAAATTATTATCCATGGTTATAGGGCCTTTGCAACCAGCCAATATCTTTATCAACTCCCTGGGGAGCATACAGCCAGTGCTGCCATTTCAGTGCTCACAGCTAGCATTTTACAATTCTAGCACTGCCCAACCATGTACTCATTTACAGCTGAGTAGACTGGAACAAGCGGAGTAAAGTATCTTGCTCAAAGATACAACACAGTGCTGTGCCATGACACGAACCCGCAACCCTTTGGTCATGAGCCCGGCGGCCTACCACTAGACTACCGTGCCTCCTCGAATATGAATATATGTTTACTGCACCAATTAAAATTTGATAATTAACAAACCTGGAGCAAATAATCTGACAGGACAGCAGAGGCCAAGCTCCCCCTCACAATGAAAAGCTCCACTACATTCTTCATCTGTGATACATGCCGCCATATAGCCATCCTTCATCTCAGCCAGACCGTTGTTAGGGCACACATCTATACATACGAAGGAAACGTCGTCATGCAGACTTGGCACTTGTTAGAGCACACTTGTATGTCCAAACATATATATACAGGTACAGATCTAGACTTGAAGACTGTTGTAACTCAAACACAAATACTGTACTCAAACATATAACATTCTTGTAAGTTGTAACACAATACTGTACTAAAACATATATAATACTGGTAAACAGGTTCAGAGTTTAACAAGCTTGTAAGAGGTGACAGTATACAACACAATACAATGTCTAGTCATGATTAATAGGTATGATATTTTCATACTTTGAAAGTACTCTTGACCATCAAACTAAACATATTCTAAAAGTGATAATTTGTCATAGCCTCCAGGTAGGAATGTTTGGGACAACTAATCAAAGAATTACCATATTGTTACATCTTAGACAGGATGCAAGATATACACCCTGGACAAACCAGTACCTGACATTAAAAAAACTTGTTCAGTCATGACCCATATCTGTTAGGTTTCCTAGAGGTCATTCTGCCATTATCTTAATTGAACATGGAGCAAGAGGACCATGGGCCTTAACAGGTATCTGAATGATACCCAAACATGAGTACATCTAATTTTTTACAATTATTGGGCATAATGGATAAAAATGATTTTATGAAAGTTTGTTCTATATCTACCTGTGGCTTACAGAAGACATGTCATTTGAAGGTTTTGTTCTCTGTGACCCCTTAAAGCCCCTTCATCCTCATTATGGGTCAGACCTTTCTTGAATCTAGATTCTTCTCCCTATCAAAGGCTGATGATTACCACTAAGTGTCATCAAAATATAACCAATGGCTACTGAGGAAAACCGAAGATAGGATTAATAATGGGAGATGAAGGAACAGCAATCGCAACAGCTAGATCTCCTCGGTGACCCGGCTGGCCTGAAAGATTGGCAGATTGGGGTGTGGATATTTCCTCTACACTACAGCCTACCAAGTCTGGAGATAATCCAGCAATACTCACCTGTCTGCATGGGTACAGGACAGCATAAAGTGCCCTCACATCTGAATCCGCCCCCACAGGCAGGCATCACTGCATCACATGTCACATCTTCTCCTCCCCCCTCTATCTGCTGTGGTATGCCTCCACTCTCACAACCAGCTGAAACAGTTGGTTTGTTGGGGGTAATACATTTATGCATACCAATAATAGAGATCTTTCTCATCCCACATCTCAAATAAGGAGTGGTTACTGCTTGAATCTCACCAAAAGTTAGGCATATAGTTAATAATGACAGCAATAACAAGTCTTGATATCCATACCAGTAATTTGATTCTAGTTTAACAAGGGTGATTTCCTTCTATTAAATTGTTGCCACACTAAATTGACCTTCTCAATATGACCTTGACCTCGACAAGCAGTACTCACATATCTGAAATGGTACAGGGCAGCATAAAGTGCCCTCACATCTGAATCCGCCCCCACAGGCAGGCAACCCTCGCCCACACATCACATCTTTTCCTCCTCCCTCTGTCTGCTCTGGTATGCCTCCATTCTCACATCCAGCTGAAACTGTTTGGTTTTTATTGGTACTACATCTGAGCAGCAACTATGGTTATATTTCAACTGATTGTGGGGTTTAGCTAAGAGCCACCACTCAAATGTCACAACTTGGACATAGTACAATGCTAGCACTATCTGATAATTACCTAACCAGAGCTGTCTAGAGACACACCATTGATAATAAGGTGCTATAGCTGATTGTATATTAATAAAACACAATGCAGCTGAACATTGATTTAATTTACCATACTTCAGAAGTAATGCCCTGGGAAATAAAACATTGACAGACAGCAGGATATGAACTTTGACCTTCATTTGTGACCTTGAACTCGGAGTAAGATCCCTGAAATAACCATATATGATCACCAGATATTATAGCATGCCTTAATTCTCACATCCAACTGAAAATGTGCTTGGGGTATTGCATCTATGCATCAACTAGAACTGTCGCCTATGGGCTAACTAATTATATAATACCCCCGCATTACGACTGCTTGTTGCCCCTGTAGGGGCTAAATAAACAAGGGAAAAAATATATAGAACGATCAAGGGTCACGAAAATGTCTAACCTCAGATGTCGTATCGACAGACCAATTGAAAAGACAAACACCACTACTGTGACCTTTGACTCAATGACCTCGGAATTTTGTCACAATGTAGCTTGCATCAATGCTACATTTACTCCAAGGTATGTGGATACAAAATACCTACCATTTCTGTCATAATAAGCCATTTCAGTAAAATAATACATCTGTGACCTTTGACCTTTGATCTCATGACCTTGGAAGTTTGTCATAATATAGCCTGCATAATTGGCTACAATACTCTTATGTATATGAGTATACAAAATACCTACTGTTTCCGAGATAACTAGCCATTTCGGTAACGTAATTCATTCGTTACCTTTGACCTTTGACCTCTGACCCCCCACCACGGAAGCTGTCAGTAGAGTAGATTGCATTAATGCCAACAATATTTTAATATGTACACAAAATACCTTCTGTTTCAAAGATATTTAGCCATTTAAATAACGTAATTCATTCGTGACTTTGACTTTTCAGAACGCGGAAAGTTGAAACCTGACAAAAAAACCGGTTATATATGTTTAACTTTGTTGCTTTTAGTATTACCATACCAGATTTGGAAGGAATTGAATAAAAAAAAAGTTCTTGCGTTTTCTATAGAATGTCATGGCCTAGAGAAGGTTTATGAACCAAGGGCCATAACTTTGTGAAAAGGGTAGATAACCCAATGAAAAGTACTTTACGCACATCTCCAAGCTGCAAGGATCGTTTTCAGCAAATTTCATTGAAATCCATCCAGTTGTTTAGGAGGAGTACCTGGTACTACATTGCATCCACAGACAGACCAACAGACAGACCTGATTCCAGTATACCCCACTCCCCTTCTAACTTCATGGGGGGGGTATAACTATGGTCATATTTCAACTGGTAGGTGGAGGTTAACCAAAATGTCATCACTTGGTCATAACACTTGTACTAATACACTGAACTCTATCATTATTGTAGTGACACCAAACCAAACCTGCCTAGGGACACACCTAGTAGTGATACCAAACCAAACCTGCCTAGGAACACACCCAGTAGTGATACCAAACCAAACCTGCCTAGGAACACACCTAGTAGTGATACCAAACCAAACCTGCCTAGGGACACACCGAGTAGTGACACCAAACCAAACCTGCCTAGTGACACACCTAGTAGTTACACCAAACCTGTCTAGCGACACACCTAGTAGTGATACCAAACCAAACCTGCCTAGGAACACACCCAGTAGTGATACCAAACCAAACCTGCCTAGGGACACCCCTAGTAGTGACACCAAACCTGCCTAGGGACACTCCTAGTAGTGACACCAAACCAAACCTGCCTAGAGACACACCGAGTAGTGACACCAAACCAAACCTGCCTAGCGACACACCTAGTAGTGACACCAAACCAAACCTGTCTAGGGACGCACCTAGTAGTGATACCAAACCAAACCTGCCTAGGAACACACCCAGTAGTGACACCAAACCAAACCTGCCTAGTGACACACCTAGTAGTTACACCAAACCTGTCTAGCGACACACCTAGTAGTGACACCAAACCAAACATGCCTAGGGACACACCTAGTAGAGACACCAAACCAAACCTGCCTAGGGACACGCCTAGTAGTGACACCAAACCTGCCTAGGGACACCCCTAGTAGTGACACCAAACCAGACCTGCCTAGGGACCCACCTAGTAGTGACACCAAACCAATCCTGCCTAGGGACACACCTAGTAGTGACCCCAAACCAAACCTGCCTAGGGACATCCCTAGTAGTGACACCAAACCAGACCTGCCTAGGGACACACCTAGTAGTGACCCCAAACCTGCCTAGGGACACACCTAGTAGTGACGCCAAACCAAACCTGTCTAGGGACACACCTAGTAGTGATACCAAACCAAACCTGCCTAGGGACACCCCTAGTAGTGACACCAAACCAAACCTGTCTAGGGACGCACCTAGTAGTGATACCAAACCAAACCTGCCTAGGGACACACCGAGTAGTGACACCAAACCAAACCTGCCTAGCGACACACCTAGTAGTGACACCAAACCAAACATGCCTAGGGACACACCTAGTAGAGACACCAAACCAAACCTGCCTAGGGACACCCCTAGTAGTGACACCAAACCTGCCTAGGGGCACACCTAGTAGTGACACCAAACCAAACCTGTCTAGGGACACACCTAGTAGTGATACCAAACCAAACCTGCCTAGGGACACACCGAGTAGTGACACCAAACCAAAGCTGCCTAGTGACACACCTAGTAGTGACACCAAACCTGTCTAGCGACACACCTAGTAGTGATACCAAACCAAACCTGCCTAGGGACACACCGAGTAGTGACACCAAACCAAACCTGCCTAGTGACACACCTAGTAGTGACACCAAACCTGCCTAGGCACACACCTAGTAGTGACACCAAACCAAACCTGTCTAGCGACACACCTAGTAGTGATACCAAACCAAACCTGCCTAGGAACACACCTAGTAGTGACACCAAACCAACCCTGCCTAGGAACACACCTAGTAGTGACACCAAACCAAACCTGCCTAGGGACACACCTTGTAGTGACACCAAACCTGCCTAGGGACCCACCTAGTAGTGACACCAAACCAAACCTGCCTAGGGACCCACCTTGTAGTGACACCAAATCTGCCTAGGGACCCACCTAGTAGTGACGCCAAACCAAACCTGCCTAGGGACATCCCTAGTAGTGTCTCCAACCCAAACCTGCCTAGGGCCATACCTAGTAGTGCCACCAACCCAAACCTGCCTAGGGCCATACCTAGTAGTGACACCAACCAAAACCTGCCTAGGGACACCCCTTGTAGTGACACCAAACCCGCCTAGGGACCCACCTAGTCGTGACACCAAACCAAACCTGCCCAGGGACACACCTAGTAGTGACACCAAACCAAACCTGCCTAGGGACACACCTAGTAGATCAAGGAACTGTTGCCTGTATTTAAGCATGTAGTGCAGCCAACCTTCAATCTATAAACTTAAAACCTATTTACGCAAGCCCTCTCACAAAATTAAAATTTTCTACTTTAATGGTACCAGACTTGGGCGGATACATCATGCTAGATTAAGAATGGAGTGTAGTTCCCTTAAGTTTTATCTATACCAGAGAAATCTAATTGATAGTCCTCTGTGTTCTTGCATGCAAGCAAATGAAACCAATGAACATTATCTATTACATTGTTGTCTTTTTTCTCAACTACGGTTACATACATTTAACGAAATCAATCATCCACTCTCAACTGATTTACTTTTGTTCGGGAATAATGAGCTTACAGATGACGAAAATGCCTTAATTTTTTCATCTGTACAAAACTTCATCATCCATTCTAAAAGATTTGACCAAGTTCTATTCATTATACAATGATCCTTTGTTTCACATCACCTATTTCTTCTCATTCTATTCTTATTGGCACGGGCATCTATATCTCCCCCCCACCCCCACCCCCCACCCTGTACCCCTTTTCTTTTACTCTCATTCCAAATATCCCTTGAACTACGTATAAAAGTAAGCTACTGTTTTAAGTGTTTATATTTCTTTCCATAGAATTCAGTAACTATACCATCATGCCCTAAATTAAATTAATGAGATACATTCTTGGAAACGGATTTATATAAGTTATTTCAACTTGTTTCCGGATCCCATTCCTCTGTACTTTGTATGTTATGTGATGTAATGCAACTTAATTTGGAATGAAATAAAGTTTATATTAATTAAGCATGTAGTGCAGCCAACCTTGTCATTTACCTATGTATCATATGTTTGGTATTGGTGCAGTTTCATAAAAATATTCTCATTGGCTGAAAGTTTATAGAGGAAAAGAATAAAAAGCGATCGTGCATTAAAGGTCATTTGAGTTGTAGTACAATTGTTTTGATATCTTGACATAACAATAGATTCAATGCATAAAGCAAATATGGCTTTTTAACTGTTGATGTTGGGAAGGAGTGACCAAGATTTATCAAATATGGAAACAGACAAAGCCTATATAATTCTTCCCTATAACTCTTCTGGAATTACAACATGCCATAAGCCTTATCATCCTTAAAAAAGAGATGTTAATATCTGTTTAACTTAGTCGCTCTTTTGTTAGGATCTTATTTTCAGTAATGTCAAACTGCCATACCATGAAAGAATATTTTTCCAGTGATAAATCAACACATAACCCTGAAAGTGTTATTTCTTTATAAACAGTAGTTTAACATACGCCTCTCATAGGCTACTCTCAGTGTAAAATTCACAATTTTGATGAAGCAAATTGGGATCTTTCTGTCCATCAAGAGTATTTGATTCCCGCATACATTGTATCTTGGTCTGAAGAACAAGACTTTTTTGGAAAATGTAGCCAGGAGGGGGTGAAGCTATTAATATTCATACAATCAAACTGCCATCCAATGAGATTAAATCCAACCAAGTTCAAATATTTTCAACTGAAAATAATGCATGACCATGACCAATCAACTTTAACCCCTCCCTGGGGTATTCCACTGATAATAAAACGCATTACAATTACACCTGTGATTGAAGAGTATTTGTGTATTTGTTTCAGCATGTATTGGTCTGAAGAAGAAGACTTTAAATTCTAACCAATTTAATCCATTTTGGCTCTGCCCCCTAGGGGGTGAGAACTATATAGCTCACATATTTTGTTCATATTTGACTATGGATGCTTCCTGCAAAATGTTCTCATAAATGTTTGAGAAGACGTAGAAAATTTTAATAATTTAGGGATAGATGATGCATAACAATGGACAAAGACAACTGCAACAGGTGACATAAAATTCTATTTGAGCTTTGACTTCAATGTGTGTCCTAAACTAGTTGTCTTAAAAACGACATGATATTTAAACAGGTGGTGATTAGCATAGCTATGAAGAATCTCTACCTCATCACTATAAAACCCTGTTTAAGTAAGAAGTAATTTGTGACCTTGACCTTGGAGTTAACATCCTGAAAATGACCCAAGGCACATCACCTGGTTGACAAGTCAATGAAGCTTCATTAAAATGTCTTCTGTAATAAAGAAGTTATGTTCCAGAAAATGAAACTATTACTTGACCCTCTCATCGCTTTGTGACCTTGACCCTGACCAGCATTACTCACCTGCCAGCATGGGAACTGGACAGCATGTATTACTTTCACATCTGAACCCACCTCCACAGGCAGGCATCCCTCGCCCACACATCACATCTTCTCCTCCCTCTGTCTGCTGTGGTATGCCTCCATTCTCACATCCAGCTGAAACAGTATTACATGTAATCATACCTTACAAAAACTTTATTTTTTTTATTTTATTTTTTACTTAACATGCATAGCAACCAAGATTTGATTACAGTTTTTAACATCAAATCAAAGGGAACAGTGGGTCTGAAGCCCTGTACCCCAACTGAGCTGTTTCAACTTCACAAACTAGGCCTATATACAATACAATGCTCAATAATATCATGCAATATGCATACATATTCATTGTACATAAGGGCTGTAAACAGTTTACTGGTTTAGCCAGTTTCTCGGCTAAAAAAACTTGACCTGGTTACAAAAAAATCAATTATGATATAGGCATTTATCGCCTCAAGTCCTATCTATATCAATAAGCAGGTAGAGACTCATATATCTAAAAACTTTCATCAATAAAAGAAGTGCAGTGGTTTTTTTGTATTTGAAAGGTAATATTGACAAGGATATAGGTCTTGAATGTTATCAAGGTACTTTTAATGTCTGTTTGAGAGACCTATTCATAATAAAAAAAATGAGTGATTTTTCCAAATTCGCCCCTTTAAAATTCCCAGTTGGGAAAATTATGCCTCACAATTGACAAGAGTTCTGAAATTGCAGCATGCGTAGGAAGGACAAAATGATAATTAACTGTCATAAAGATAGGCTTAAATAAAAGCTAAACAGGCTAATTTCATATAATCAGAGTTGGTATATAATGATCATCTGAATTCCCCAATATGGTTCTATGTTGATTAATTTTCCCCTATTTCATCCCAGGGTCCTTTAATTTCCATAAAACCCCTGATAAACCCCTTTATGCAGTCTGCACAATCTCAAGCCTGATATTCAAAGTTCTGAAATGCCAACTTTGCCAAGTAGAACTTGGTTTTCTAGGTGGGAAACTCAATATGTTAAATCATTAAAAAAAACATTGGAATGATATCTGTGAAACTCTAGAAAAGGTACAATCATCCACAAATAAGTCTGTTAACCAAATTCCAGTATTAATAATTCATATAGCAGTATATTGTAGTCATATCAACAGTTTGACCTTCCTGAGTAAATTATCATGCTAGTCAACATAGGCAGCTATAGTCAACAAAGGCAAATGTTTTTTAAGTTTATATGTAATCCTCCACTGCAAAATACCAATTCAATTGGAAAGGCTAGTAATAGTATAAAAATTTTGCTAAACATCATCAGATCAGTGGACTTACTTCCTTGTACGACACCTTCTACAAAACATACACATATTGTATATGTAGCATTTTTTCAATCACCTGTCCAGCAATAGTGTCAAAACCCAAATAAAACCTGATCATGTACTCACCGCATAATTTCAAAAGAACAGCCAGCAGCAGGACCACTATCCTTCTGTTCATGGTTTCCATCAACCACTATTATCAAGTTTTCTTTTTCTAAATTGTCTGGAAAGACAGAAAGCAAGCTTTATATTAATTAGAGAAATATTGATTACCTATAGATTCTACTGATGTCTCAAGAAACCCTTAATCAGAACACAAGCTGGAAGTCTAGTTGTACAGTTAATATGTATTTGTAGTTAAAAAGAACCATAACAAAATGGGAGTAAATCTAGTAAAGGTACAAAACTAATGGGTGCGAAGTATTGTTTTCTCTGATAGTTAGACTGAGGCAGTCACTGGGACTGACTGTGATTAAGACCTAATTCAGACTCCCCTTACATAAATGAGTAACCTGTATTTATAGTCAAAAAGTACCAACTTCTTTACTACGCATACATAAAAAATAGTGACAGGTGACAATTGCTTTTAACTCAAAGTTCTTCTGACAATAAAGTGATAGGTGACACTTATGATAGACCTGGATTGTTCCAACAAAATGTCTACTAAGTGTAAGGGAGTTAAGTGACGGCCTAATCTTTTCCTGTTTACACCAGGAAGCTAGGGATGATCTCTGGCACCTAATGCTAATCCATAACAACAGATACTTAATTACAGGAAAGGTAATTTTACTTTCCTGTTTTATGATACAAAGGTAAATTAAGAAAAGGTTCAGTAAGAAATGATTTTGTTTTAATTTCAAATGAATTACATAAATTCTTAGAATAAAGTTTAAGAAGAAAGAATATTATAAATTGTGGAAATGTAGTATTTGCACTGGTGAAAGAATGATGACAAGGGTGTGACATTAAAATTTTAACAGTCTGATAGAAAGATCAAGGCAAAGCAAACTAGCATACTTAGCACCACATAGTGGAGGTATATAACTGTTATACATAGTGGGGGTATAACTATTATACATAGTGGGGGTATAACTGTTGTACATAGTGGAGGTATAACTGTCATACATAGTGGAGGTATAACTGTCATACATAGTGGGGGTATAACTATTATGCATAGTGGGGTTTTAACTGTTATACATAGTGGGGTACAACTGTTATACATAGTGGGGGTGTAACAGTTATACCCCTACTATGCATAACAGTTATACCCCCCCTATGTATAACAGTTAAACCCACTACTATGTATAACAGTTATCCCCCCACTATGTATAACAGTTGTACCCCACTATGTATAACAGTTACACCTCCACTATGTATAACAGTTATAACCCCACTATGTGTAACAGTTATACCCCCACTATGGATAACAGGTAAACCCACTACTATGTATAACAGTTATACCCACCCTATGTATAATAGTTATACCCCTACTATGCATAACTATTATACATAGTGGGTGTATAACTGTTATACATAGTGGAGGTATAACTGTTATACATAGTGGGAGTATAACTGTTATACATAGTGGGGGTATAACTGTTATACATAGTAGTGGGTTTAACTGTTATACATAGTGGGGGTATAACTGTTATACATAGTGGGGTATAACTGTTATACATAGTGGGGGTATAACTGTTATGCATAGTAGGGGTATAACTGTTACACATAGTGGGGGTATAACTGTTATACATAGTGGGGGTATAACTGTATACATAGTGTGGGTATAACTATTATACATAGGGGGGGTATAACTGTTATGCATAGTGGAGGTATAACTGTTATACGTAGTGGGGGTATAACTGTTATACATTGTGGAGGTATAACTGTTATACATCGTTGGGGTATAACTGTTATACATAGTCGAGGTATAACTGTTATACATAGGGGAGGTATAACTGTTATACATAGAGGGGGTATAACTGTTATACATAGAGGAGGTATAACTGTTATACATAGTGAAGGTATAACTGTTATACATAGTGTAGGTATAACTGTTATACATAGTGGAGGGATGAATGTTATACATAGTGGGGGTATAACTGTTATACATAGTGGGGGTATGTAACTGTTATACATAGTGGGGGTATAACTGTTATGCATAGTGGGTTATAACTGTAATACATAGTGGGGGTATAACTGTTATACATAGTCGGGGTATAACTATTATACATAGTGGGGTTTTAACTGTTATACATAGTGGGGGAATAACTGTTATACATAGTGGGGGTATAACTATTATACATAGTGAGGGTATAACTATTATACATAGTGGGTTATAACTGTTATACATAGTGGGGGTATAACTATTATACATAGTGGGGGTATAACTGTTATACATAGTCGGCGTATAACTATTATACATAGTGGGGTTTTAACTGTTATACATAGCGGGGGTATAACTGTTATACATAGTCGGGGTATAACTATTATACATAGTGGGGTTTTCACTGTTATACATAGTGGGGGTATAACTGTTATACATAGTGGGGGTATAACTATTATACATAGTGAGGGTATAACTATTATACATAGTGGGTTATAACTGTTATACATTGTGGGGATATAACTATTATACATAATGGGGGTATAACTGTTATACATAGTGGGGGTATAACTGTTATACATAGTGGGGGTATAACTATTATACATAGTGGGGGTATAACTGTTATACATAGTGGGGGTATAACTGTTATGGGTTTTAAACTAGCATCCTCTTATTTATTTTGCAAATTTAAGAATATGCAGAAAACACCAGCAAACATAGTTCGCAAAAGAGTTTACGCAAGAACAGATGATATTTGAGAATTAAGTAATCAGCAAAGCTATATTTTCCTTATTTTGATTTGCAGAGTGTATGGTTATGTAATCATTATTTTTATGTTAGGACTGATATCATATAAAGGATACTTCTTAATATCAAGGAGGACATCCATGTGGATTCGTATATCAACACCAATGGGTTCATCATGGTTTTTCAAAAATGGGTTGAAACAACATGGTGGTTACAAATGCAAAACTTCACGACAAATGTGATGTTTGTGTTTCATTGAAATCCATTTTAATATACTAATGAGCAGGACTACACAAGCTTTAACATCAAGGGCCATAACTCTGTTAATACCCCTAAAAACAGCATGGCAATCACACATGCAAAGGTTTATTTTATTGGCAAGATGAAGATGTGACGCATGTACCACTTTATTAAAATCAGTGCAGTACTTCAAACCATGGAACTGTGGACAAAACTGTCAATCCAAACTCAAACACTCCACCCTAAAACTTTGTGGCAGGGGCCAGGGATTATGGAAACATTGGTCAATATACAGCTATAAAGTTCAACTGGATCTGTCTGATGTGTATGTGGGCGACCTGCAGAATCAGAATGGAGTTTTATCTATTATAAGAACAATAAAGAAACCCAACTTGTTAACTGTTTCCATTCTGCTTCCTTTTTCACAACTGTATCACTGCCAGTGTCTTTCTGACCCTGCCTACTGTTTACCTGTAACTTCCCGGTGCTATTTTTAAAATCGTAATTGTTCTGATAGGCCATTAAATGTATATGACAAGTTATGTTTAACCGTTTCACCCCTATGTAACTTTAGTAGACATTGATATGCATTGATATGGATGAGTCCATTATGGTCTACAGTGGTGAAAGGGTTAATTAACAAGTACCAGGTACATTGTACATGTGTAAAAGATGTGGTTAACCCTTTCACCCCAAAGTAACTTTAGTAGACTCTACCATCCATTATCTGGATGAGTCCATAATTAAGTCTACAGTGGTGAAAGGGTTAACTAGGTTGCCTTACAAGCGTCAGCTGCAGGGAATTTCCCTTTAGTTTAGCGGTAGAGCATCAGGCTGGAGAGCCGAGGGTCGTGGGTTTGAGCCCAAGCGATGGCACTATCTTTATCACTATTCCTCGTCCTTTTACAAATTGGTGCCGTTGACCCTCCCCGTTCAAGGTAGAACACATGCTATTGAACATGCATGCTAACTATGACACCTCTGATGTCCACAACTAATGTCATCATCTTATCTAATTTAATCAAACACGTACTTAGTCCAGTCGCCCTCAATCTACCTACAGATCAGGCCAGGTGAGACTAGTGTCAAAGCGTTTATACCTCGAGCTATCCAACAGTCACGATATTATCACAATTAAAATCTTGGGTGAATGTCGACTTAGAATAACAAAGTAGACTAGCAAACCGCTAGATCAACAATGAACAGACAAAAAAAGATTTCATATTCAAATATATTGTTTTCTATCTCGTATACTTATGATACATTTATGAGCAAACTAATGGGACTCGAACAGCAGATGGATTGGAGAGTAATGTTACCCTTACCAGGGTTTTCAATGACTTTATCTAGCTGTCTTTTTCAATAGATACGTATTGCCCAAACATCACTTATTCCAGTACCCTAATACTTCACTACCCAGAAGTAATAAACCGGCCTTATTTCCATCTGCATCCCCTAAGTTAACACTCCCCACTATATCTACAGTACCTGGTAATGCACCATTTAACAGCCGCTTACATCTTCCACCCTACACATCCACCCTCCTCAAATAAAAAAAAATCATTCTTTACACCTTACATTGACCCTAAAGTAATTCAAATCTGGTGTACATGTCTGTCCCCTATACACCTCTTTACACTTCGGGTAATGTAATTGTGTTTATCAATGTTACAGGCGTCGCTGTGTGTTGTAAGTGAGGGTCACATGTGGTGTTTGTAGGGTATAGAGTGTATCATGTGACGTAGCGCGAGGGGCACATGTTTTACCCGAGATACAGATGAGTTTGTACAGGTGTACAAGCTATGTTAGTCATTCAAGTTTTTGCAGGACAAATGCTATAGTGCAATACCTCCCTTTTGTTTTCTTTGTTACAGGTTTGTAAGCAGACAAGGATCTGGCTGTTTGGTCCATACTCAGGCAGATATGGAATGGTTGCCATTTTGCATGTGTTTCTGTCCATTTTATATGAACAGACTTCACAAATTCACATAATAGTGCTAGCTGCAGTAAGCTGTATTCTGAAGTGTTGAGTTTTATTTGATAAATAATTTATGCTCATTTGAACTGGTGAATCAAAACATAAGTCTTATAATGATGTCTGCCCCTTTTGACACAGCCCTTTTTCTCCCTCT